TGGCTTGCCTTGTTGTATCAAGTTTTTAAAGTATTCTTTAGTCTTCTATGGTTACTTGAACATTTTGTTTTACCGTTTTGAATTTTTTTCCCACCTGTGGCGGATAAAGTGCTTGAGTAAATGCAGATCATTGCAACAAAATATAAGCAAGAATTTGATAAATTAGTATCTGATGGTTTTCTCATGTTATATAACCTATTGGATGCCTGCGCTTTGTATATTGTGCGTCCTCTATTTCTATTTCTACGATAACAGCTTTTCAATTAGCTGTACTTTGCAAGGGTTTATGATGGAATTGTATTCAAATTTTACTCATAATTTTAGGAATGTCCCATCATTTTCTTCTGCCGTAACAATGGCTATGCCATTAGCACACCGACATCGGAACAGTATGGTGGTGATGGCATTGCTGGAAGAGGCCCCGGCTACGGTTTACACACTATCCGGTTAGACAATGGCATTAGGAGGTGTTACAAGCTCCGATTGCTTGCTTTTGTTGCAGTGTTGATGGAAATGATGTATTTGCTGTTTACAATGCCACGAAAGCTGCCCGAAAATTGGCTATACAGAACAAGCCAGTACTTATTGAGGCCATGACATATAGACTGGGGCATCACTCGACTAGTGACGATTCGACATTCTATAGGTTGGTATACGTCTTTATTCTTACTGCTTTTAGCAAACTTTTGTCTTTCACACCAAATCAGCCGCTTACAGGTCCACTGAAGAGGTACACGAATGGGGAGAGAAAGACCACCCAATCACTCGATTCAAAAAATATATCACTGAGAAAGGATGGTGGAATGAAGAAGAAGAAAAGAAATGGCAGAAAGATGTGCGTTATAGTTTAATTAGTAGGGGAACTTTAGAATTTTTTTCCAAGGGATGAATGTCAAAGTTTGTCGTTTAAAATGCTTGGCATAACGCTGAAGAAATCAGTTAAAGCTTGCAATTTATTCTACATATATGGCTTATTTTCTCACAATACAGTGCCGCAAGCGAGTACTTCAAGCGTTTGGCAGAGCAGAGAAGCAAAAGATTGCCCATCACCATGACATGTTTGAGGATGTGTATAGGTAAAAATCCGTTAATTTCTTTCAGTTTTTTTTCTTTCAACTTTATATCTGATTTTAGTGAACTGACACCTCAACTGAAACGTCAACGAGAAGAGTTTGATGCTCATTTGAAAGAATTCAAGGAACATTACCCCATGGATAAATGCTTACCAAACCCCGTCTAGAGCGGTCAAGATGCTAAGATGGAAAACTAGTTTTCTGATGTGCACATGGTGCTATTTCCTGATTTAATCCGGTGCATCTATAATGACTCTGATAAAATAATCTCCGCGGTATGGATTTAAGACAGATTTTTAGGGCTTAAAAAGTTGTACTTCTAACTGTGATGAAGATGCTTAGGTCTCTCCATAGCCTTTCTTCTAGAGTGTATCTGGTGAAAATAAACACCTTTATATAGGAAAGAGTATTCGCCATGTGCCATTTGGAATTATTTTGAACATGACACATCTATTATTAGGAAAGACTTTTATTATATGCTTCTTTATATCTCTCCGCTCTGCATATCATGTGCTTTTTCTGCTTTGGGAATAAAGATTGCATTAGAAAATTTCTGTACTTATGGGGTTGGGAGGTTCCTGCCATTCGCATATTGATGGAGTTGAGCTGACATTGTTGTTTTTCCCTTGTTCTACACTCACAATCTTATTTTCAGCATCTGGATCGTTTTCACATCACAAAAAGTTTTAAGTGTCTTCAATTTGGTAAGTAAA